CCTCCACCAGACCCTGACGTAGAGCCAGTAGAACCCCCACGAGAAACGAATTCAGAACTCCTGGCTCGACAGCTATTGCAGGCAGCCACAGACCAGGACTCCCAAGAGTTAGGGTCGCAGGCGGCAAATCGCTTGCAGCCCTCACTGCCGGATCCTCAGCTGCACGCGCCATACCTGTTTGTCCCATGGAGTACTGTTGCCAAGCGTGTGGGATTCCCATATGTGCAAGCAGCGCCGCTGCCTAACCTACATGCGGGGGTCATGCATGCAGTTGGCCTCCTCCCGGAGGACCAGCAGCAGGAGTTTCAGAGAGCCTTCCGAGATGCCATAGCGTCCATTCCGACGCTGCCGGAATCAGTTGAGACCCTAGCAACCCTGATCCTGAATATCTATGCAATAGGCACAACAAGTATAGATAAGACCTGCCTCTGGGCATCGGTACTCAAGCACATGGCGCAACATCAAGGGTTCTGGCTCACAACTACAACTGCCCCGCCTCCAGACTGTGTGCAGATCCATTGCGGAGGACTTGGAAGAGGCACCCTGGGCGGATCGGACGTCCCCACCTTTGATTGCACAAATCCGGGTATGCGATCACGCGGCCTGGGCATTGCTACCAATTCCAACAGGCCAGTACAGCCTCCGATAGGTCAGGAGTGTCAGGTGTTCATCAGTGGAGCGTGATGCTTCCAACCAGTGCACGTGTCGCGCAGGAAGTCTATGAACCTCTCATAGGCATACAATACCCAATGCTCTGCAGTTGCAAGAATGGGTTGTGGCAAAAAGGAACAAGCTCCATACGAGAAAGCGAGGAGAAGCCCACCGGGCTGAGGTTCGTGCAATGGATGACCCTCGTGAGGCTGCCCGCGCTGACCCTCCGCCTGAATCCACTAGAGCGGTTTACCTGCAAATAGAGTCCTGGTTACCAGTCACGGATGAAGAACAAGACAACATCCTAGTCCTGACAACCAGAAAGGAAAGCGCCACTAGCCTTCGCAGCTTCTGTCACCAGTCCCGCCGTAACACCAATGTCGAAACAGCAGTCAAAGTGGCAGGTGCTAGTGCCAAGCACTGTATTGTTCTGCATGGCAACTCCAGCTTCCTTAGTGGCCACTCCAACAATTCAGACTTCGACAAAGAGTGTTATACCAGGGCTAATGTTGCCCTCAGCAGAGCTACGGACCTTACTGTCCTAGCGTGTCCGCTCAACATGCATGGTCTTGAGGGTGCTACGCAAGTCATTGCCGCGCTCCTGCATGGAGCTTGCACCTTGCACACCAGCAACGCTTCGCCCAGCATCGCACAAGTTGCGGGCACCTTTGAAATCGGCCAGCCAGACGTCAGAGCTGCAACTGCTGCCTTCCTCAAAGCCACAGAGCCGCACCCCTTATGGGAGGGACCTACCCCCCTGTGCCTTGCGGAGCACTACAATGGAAAGGTGAGGCGCCTCAGACTAGTCCTCACGAAGGAAAGTTGCCTCTCACAAGGCGAGCAAAGCCAGTTCCTGAGTCAAACCCATCCTCTCCATGGTAGCGGACTGATATTTGGTTATGCGGCAGATGAGCTCCCCAACCCTGACTGGCTGATCGTTCATGACACCAGTCATCCCGGAGCCTGGCGCTTGCTACATGCTGCTAGCAAAGTAGGCGGTTCACGCTTCACGGTAGGCAGCACAGTCCGCTATCCACCGGGCAAGAGTGACGCAGCCAACAAGGCGAGGCTCTACCAGTTTGAGGCACTCCACAAAATATATTTTTATGATGCATGGCGGAATGAATCGCTGCTCGATAAAGAAGGCTCCTCCCTGCTACTGCCCCCGGCACCAGGGATGCTCCAACAAGGATGCTACTGGCGCCCAGCAGCACATACCTTGAATAAAGTGCAATCTTCCGCCGCCGATACGCCTGCTGGCAGCCCGGCCTCGGACGGCCTAGAAGTCCCCAATACTGAGGCTCCCGAGCCTCCTCCCATCGCCTAACAGCATCACCAGCCTGCAAGGCCGCTGCGACCGTCCGGTCTCGATCAGCAGTAGGGAAGAAGCTGACAGCTCCCCTACCCAGGCTTCTGAGCCCAGAGCACTGTCTGCCGCAACAGTCACCTCGCCAACAAGTGGTGAGGAGACGTCGGTGCACGAAGTCAGCAGCCTTGACTCACAGATGCTGGTAGACGATGGAGCTGAGGATAAGGAAGAAGAAGCTGCCACTGAAGACCCTGTGGTCGAGGAAGAGGAAGAGCATGATGAGGCCAGCGTCTGGGTGCTCAATGACTCGTCCTCTGCGTCTCCTAGCGGGCAGCATGGAAATGAGGTTCGCCCCCAGTCTGCAGCGTCTCCTAGTTCAGCGGTCTCTACCCGCTCTCAAGCCAGTGTACAGTTAAGTGCACCCCCCACTGGAGAAGCAGACATTAGAAAGGGATCTGTCACCACCCCAACCATCACCTCAGCCATCACCCCAGCTAGTCCTCAAGAACCGTCAGAGCAGCAAAATAGCCCCCTGGACCAAGCCAGGTTGGGGGAGGGTGACTGCCCAAGCAGTTGTCCTCTCACTGAGCAAACAGGGGTAGGTGCACGGGGTGAACAAGCTCTCAAAGGTATCAGGCGGCGGTGGAGACAAGCATCCCTGGCCCGCGCCGCGGCGCCCACAGAGGGAGCGGAACCCACGGAGACAATAGCGCTTCAAAAGCAGCCGGAACGGGAAGGGCAAGCGCTTGGCCAATCGGCTCAGTGCTTGCTGACGGAGCAGTAGGGAAACTCAGGGCTGCCACTCCAAATGCCAATTCTGCCATCGTACCTGAGTAGATAGCCAGCTCCCCTGGCTGCCTCCCAAGAGGTGGTCAGGGCGTTGTACAGTGTACAGACATCTAGTACTAGGAATAGCGGCGTTTCACCGTTTCACTTAGTTCATGGGGCTTGCATGTTGTCTTGAACTCCGGTGCGCTCGAGTGACCCAGGAAAGATACAGAACCTGCTGCGGCTCGACCGCATTGCTACGATTGCGCTCACACACGGTTGATTTGCACCCTGGAAGTGGTCGGTGTGGCGTTTCTTGCCACGTCGTGAGGCCATTTGCACTTGTCGAAGGTCTCGTTTTTTGAAGCTGCTACCTGGGTGCAAGATCTCATCACCTCCCCCCTTGGGGGGGGTGGGGGGGGGACTTCTTAGCTACCTCCGGGTTGTCCAAAAGCCGCGGCTTGCCAGCTGCAGATCCCCTGGGTTCTGACCTTTCTTTCACTTTCGCATGCTCTTCCCAAGGGTCTCAAGTGCCATGCCCCTCATAACCTGGAACAGAGGCCGGTATAGGAATAGAGGCCGGAATAGAGACAAGGTCCAAATGATCAAGCATGCTCGATACAACCTCCTGGTTGTCTTGTCTTGCCTCGTCCCGTATGTAGTGAGGTAGAGATGCTTGCTGTCTATCCTACCTTCGCTTTGGCTCATATCTGACACCTTACAATTCGCAAGCAGAGGCCAAGAGCAAGTGGAATTTTGTTCCGCGACCAGCCGAGAGCAAGCTGGAATTTTGTAGCGCAGGCATTGAGGAGCTTTCGTCACTGTCGTTGTTACTTAGGAGCATTTCACTTTAGCATGGGCTCGGTCGTGATCTTTGATACAAGTTCCGTCTTGCCTGGCTCCGATACTGCTCGAGAAAGCAACTCACACTTGCATCCTGTCTTGCTCGATAATGACTGAAGGCACTACATCCACTTGTGGTTACACCAGCTACCCATAAGGCAGAAAGCTGTTCGATGATGGGCATCTTGTACTGAGCGTTGCTAGGATCTTGAATTCACTGCCCCGTTTCACCTCCGTGGTCGATCTCCGGATCTTCACCTTTTTCTCGCGTTTCATGCGGATACGAGCCAGCTCCGTTTCGGTTTTGTTTGGGGTGCTGGTTTTTTGGTTTGTTTGTTGCGGTGCTTTGTTCTTCCCCTGGCTCGTATCTTCTCTGTTAGCTCATCGAATTCAATCAAGGTGACTTGTGCCTCTCGGCACACATAGCGCCCGTACCCGTGCAAAAAAAAAAGCGGACAGGGATGTTTTCAGCAAATCGGAGAAGTCGTTGCCACAACCGCCTGGTCGATTTCCTTGCTGGACGTCGTGCCTTGCGTGGTGTGAAAACAATTTAGACGACCGAAGTGAAGTGGTTCCATTCCTCACATGTCAAGTAATGCCCAAGAGACTCTTGCAGATCTTGCAGGGAACTCAGCACACTTTTGACTTCCAACTCTCTTGCGGGACACCTCTTCCAACACACTCTTGTGTGTCACTCTTGTGGCACACTCATGTCACTCTTGTGGACACTTTCTGAAAGCGACTGTTGGTGGCCAGCTGGTGAGTTTTCTCCAGGGCACAGTGAGAACTTTGGAACCAATGGGTGGAGTCCATTTAATCTGGAACTGGAATTAGTGATTGCAAGATTGGATGCAAGGGTTGGAGTGAATTCCACTTCGCGAGAATTGTCTTAATTGTTGGTGGTAGTTGGTTGGTGGCAGTTGGTTGGTGACAATTGGTTGATGACAAATGGTGACAATTTGTTGGTGGTGGTTGGTTGATGACGGGAGGCGGGAGGAGGCGGGAGGCTTGTGATGCTGATGATGCAAGACCTGAAATGTTGACTGGGAATTTTTGGGCAACGTGACTAAGCTCTTCGAAGAAGATCGTGTTGTCTCTACTTCGTTTTAGAAACGAGAAGTTTCGGGTGTCTTGAATGATGTTTTTCCTTCGTGACATTTTGTTTCAAGGGAGGGTGTGGCGGGCTCCGCTGACCGAACGGTCAATGCTCTGAAAAGCAGAGTGGGGGGTGTGCCATGGATTTGATTGAAGTTGAGGATGTTGAGGACGATGAAGTGCTACCTGAACTTGACCCGTTGCATTTGGAAGATTTAAATTTCTCCTTTCAGGAGGATATTGAACATTTGAACTCGTCTGCTTCAGGTTTTGCTGGCTACACGTCTCAGGACCTGGCACGCCATCAATCCCCGGACTCAGGTTTAGATGCCGACCCGCAGGATGAGGCTCATGAAGATGGAGTTGAGTTCATCGATCGAACTGCTCAGGAGAGTTTTGATTTCAATACAGGTACGAATGCACGCATTGTAGACAAAACTGATTGGGCACTGACTGTGAATCATGCCTTCGAACGTCACAAAGCTCTGGACCCTGCCATGAAGCTTCCGTGGGAACAACCTTCGATGCAGGGAATCTTTCACAACAGTCTGGGCCTCAACTTACCACAAGTGCATGGTTTAGCTTTGGAACTGCCTGCAAAACAGATTGAAGATAGAAATCAAATCTCGGTCAGCGGAGAAGTTGAAGCTTGTACAGATGCTGCTTTTCTGAGTGCAGTGAAGGACATTCAGGACTTGGACTATTTTGAAAACAAACGACAGCAGACAGATTTGGCTTGTGCAAAGTGGCTTGATATCCTTTCCAACGCATCAGGCCCCTCCTATGGAGCTTGAACATTTGAGGCGTCTTCATTCAGTGCTGTTGAGCGCTGATAGCATTGTGGACAAGGTTGGGGCAGGTTGCATGCTTTTGTGTACATATGCTCGAGCACGCTGGAGTGATCTACGATTCATCCATCATGTTGAGATCGAAAGCAAGAGAAACGGCTGCCTGGTATTGTACACAACTGAACACAAGACTTCCGCTGTTGGCGAAAAGAAGGAACAATACCTGCCATTTGTTGTCCCTTGGGATGGAGTGACGAATGAAAACTGGTTGCAGATTTTCCTGGATCTTTATCAACAGGTTGGGCTAAATATTCACAAGGTACCGCTGGGTCCTCTCCTACCAGCACCCAGATCCGGTGGTGGATTCTGCGCACGGCCCTTGGCCACATCTGAAGCTGCTGCCTGGTTGCGAGGTCTTTTGAAGGGAACTTCAAATTGGGAATCTTTTCGCTCCCATTCCATGAAGGCTACCCTTTTGGACTGGTGTGCAAGGTCTGGAATGGACAAGGAAGTTCGATCAGTGCTTGGGCATCATTGCAGTGCTGTAAGTGGTTCAGAAGTAGTGTATGCTCGTCATTTGCAAGCCAGGCCAATTCGGAAACTGATGATGCTGCTCAGGTTGATTAGGATTGGCATGGGCCTTGAGGAAATCGCTGACAGAGGAAACATTGCTGGTGTCACGCCGGCAGTGGGTACACCTGGACCTGGTTTTGGGATTCATGGTTGTGCAGCACGGACACCTGTATTGCCAGTTGAACGTGTTTTGCCAGAAGCTGACCCTGTTCAGGATGCTGTAGAGGTTGTTCAGGACCATGAAGACCAGCTTAGCGTCAAGGAAGAGATGGACATTGCTACAGACGTTGCTGCCTCAGCAGATAGCTTGAGCCTGTTTCCAGAAAGTGTTGTCAAACTTGGCTTGATCGAGATTGATAGCTCGTCTGGCAGTGACAGTGAGTCGAGCAGCACGAGCAGCGATGAGCCGCTGGCTGAGACTTTTGAAACACGTGCTGCATACACCGAAGCAGTGCCTGAAGGGTTGACCTTTTATAAACATGTGAAAAGCTTTCGTGTGCATGCAGTCCGAAATGAACAGCAAGTGACTGTATGCAAAATGAAGATAACTGAAAATTTTCAGGAATTGGGCCGTACCTTGAACTTCAGGTATCCAAAGTGTTTGAGGTGCTTCCCAAATGATCCAGGGCGAGTGCGTAGCCGTGAGGACGCAGTCGAAGCCCTGGACAAAGCTTTAGAGAGAGTTCGGAAGGCCAGGAGAAGTGCAGCGCAATAGCTTGTACGTTCTTTACTTCTTGTTTGATAAACGGCTTCCTGAAACAAACGTTTAAACCTGAAACAAACGACCGGTTTGAGTGCTGCTTGTGCTGTGTCTTGTGTGTTTTCAGCTTTAAACGCTTGTAGACACTTAAGCTAGTTTGTGCGTTTCTCCTGGTTCTCTAACCTAGTGGTGAACCTGCTGCCCCAAAGGGGAAAAAGAAGCAAGTTTGCTCTAAGAGCAAGGATGTTGCACGAAGAGTGCTCCGCGTTGCAAAAGACACATGCGAAGTGCCTTCACTCAAAGGAGTCCAAGATGTTTTGTTTGCCAAAGTGGCCATTGAGTGTTTGCAGAAAGCTGCACAATGGAGACGAAGTGTCTCAAAACTGTTTTCCGAAAGCGGTGCAGGCTCAAAGGAGCAAAACTAAAACGGAATAAGGTATTCACACTTGAGCTCAAAGGAGCTGAACAAGACAGCACAAACAACTGTGCGAGCCTCAGCCTTTAATACTTTGGATCAAAGTTTTGTGCTTTCTTTGATTGGTGTTCTATGGCCAACCTACCTTTTGTTACTAGTCCTTTAGAACCGAAGCATGGCAACTGTCGTTGACAGCACCGCTCACTTTGATGCTCGGCTGCTGGAGAGTGGGATATCACAGAGTGGATACTCTTAGTCGATTAGCATTTGCAGTAGGCCAGCCAAATCAACCATTGGCCAATGACGACATCACAGGATTCCTGCAGACAGCCCTAGGAAGGGCCCCATCGTTGTTGGAGACCTCGACGGTCAAGAGATTAGCATTCGAAGCACAGACGTTCTTGGTGGCGTCCTTACGCCAGAGCATTGAGCAGACAGACGACTCGGTTCCCCGGAACGAGAGAGCTTCGAGGATGCAGGCAATAAAGACGGCTTTGTTAGGTGTGAACATCTCAGGAGAGCTTGAGCCATCGCATCTGCTTTTGGACAAGGCTTGTTCCATGTATGAAAAGAACATCGTGGTGTACTTGGAGCCGAGCACATGTGTCAGCAGGACTTTGGAAGTGCAAGGTGCAAAGCAAAGTCGTGAACTGAGCTTGGAAAAAGGATCCTTGGTTCTTAGAAATCAGGACCAGTTGACTAGTGCAACTGACAGTGAGATCAAGCTTCACAATGCCCTTGTCCGACGTGGCATCGCTCTTCAATTCGCCAAGCTGATGTCGCATGCTCAACACTCAGAATGGGCAACATTCTTGTTCGAGGCCCTGCACCGTGATGCGCCACCTGGATACAGCCGACCGAGTGTGGCACAACTGCTGCAATGTGATAGAGCGGCCTGGGCAAGATTAGGCAGTACAGTGAACAGCATTAGGCAGGACCAGCTTGGAGGTTATCCATTAGGTGTTGCTCTTTTGGCTTTGAGATCCGATCCATACATTACTTTGTTTTTGGCACCCTTAGCAAGACATGGGTCGATGCAGAGTGATTCGAGCCGACGCAATACTGGACCCTACGAGTCGACTTGGCATGATCGCATTTCGAAAGGAAAGGGAAAAGGCAAAAAGGGTTCAGGCAAGGGTGGGAAAAGCAATCCACCTATGCCACGTGATCTTCATGGGAAATGGCGCAAGACGCCAAAAGGAGACCCAATTTGTTTTGGGTACAATACCACACAAGGCTGTCCAGAGAAGAACGTGAAAGCTGGCGAAAAGTGTCGCCGAGGGCTGCATGTCTGTGCCGAGCCGAAATGCCAACAGCCTCACCCGCTGCATGAGCATGGGCGGTGAATTAGGATGACCCTTGTCCCACGTGCCTGGCAAGGCATGCATGTGGGACAATTGTGGACGCTGGAATTGTTTGCAGGATCGGCAGTGCTTTGTTCAGTTGCTAAGCAACAAGGGCTCTACAACAGCATTGCCGTCGACAAGACACAGAAGCATGGTTGTTTTTCTAGCATCATTAGGCTAGATTTAACGCGTGAAGCTGATAGTTCGCTTGTTGATGCTTGGCTTGATTCGGGGCTGCTCATTTGGGTGCATCTAGCTCCTGTGTGCGGCACTGCTAGCCGTGCACGGGATATTCAGGTTTCAGCAAATGATCCGCCTCCCCTGCGCAGTAATGAACATCCGAATGGTTTTCCAGACTTGGCAGGACGTGATTTGCTCAGGGTCAACATAGCAAACAAGTTGTTTTCTTTTGCATGCCGCATCTTCGCTGAGGCCACGAAACGTGGAATTTTGGCAACGATGGAGAATCCAAAGAATTCATATTTTTGGTGCACCACATATTTCTTGCAATTGTGGAAGACTGTTGAACTTTATTGTGCTGATTTTCAAGTGTGCATGTATGGTGGTTCCAGAGACAAGTGGACACGGTTCATCGCAAACTTTCCGGAAGTGGCTGAGTTGTCCGTTGAGTGCGATAGAAAGCACTCCCATGCTCCTTGGAGGTTTGCTCACAATCCTGAAGGAAAGCGTGTTTGGGCAACGAGCCTCGAGAGCCAGTACACTCGTCCACTGTGTCTAGCTACTGTTCAGGTAATCTTGCAGAAAGCTGCTTCCCAAGGTCTTCACCTATTGCCCCAGACCTTAAACGAAATCCGAAAGCATCCGTTGTTGCATGCACAACAGGCTCAAATTAGTGTTGGACTGCAGCCATTTCGAAAGAAAATACCACCGTTGGTTCCAGATTTCGATGCAATCGTTGTTGCTGTCCTTCAGGACAAATCCGAAGTCCCAGTCCCTGTCCTCGGCAAGGCTCAAAATGATTTGCACCTTGTGTCCGTTGAGCTTCAACCTCTTTTGATCCCCAAATATGCACGGCTGCTTCGCCTTTTTGCTGCCTCCGATTCTTTAAAAGGGGGGCTTGAGGAATCCGAGACAGCTGGAAAATCCGAATCTGGTGCCGACCTTAGCTTGTATCCTTTTCGAGCTGTTTTTGGCTTGCCATGGGAGCCGGAAAAGTTCATTGAAAAGGCGGTGACAGCCGGTCACCCAGCCTTGACCGACATGAGCATTCCAGAAGATCTCCAAATTGCCATTGACAGAAATTTAGCTTGGAATGATGAGCAGATGTCCAAATATAGATCGGATTGGGCAAAGCATTGGTTGATGAGGGCAAAAGAGCTTGATGCTGCAGAAAGCCTGGACAGGTCGTCCAGGCCTGAACATGTGAGACACAGCACCTCGTCGAAACGCCTGCTGCTGACGGATGAGATTTTGGATAGCATACAATATGAAGACAAAGCTGCATTAAACATTCTGCGTGAGGGCTCCACTTTGGCGGGCCGCATTGAGAGTTGCTGCATCTTTGAACAACAGTTCAAACCGTGCTTGATGACCCTTGATCAGCTGGAAGGTGGTGCAAAGCGCCGGAATCAGGCCATTCTTGCGATGACTTGTAGCTGCGGTGACGAAGCTCTGGATCAGCAAGTATTGGCCGAAACTAGAGCTGAGCTTGAAAAGCAATGGGCTAGAGGACCTTTTGAACTGGACACCCTGCCAGAGGGTGCTGTCATTTCTCGTAGGTTCCCGCTTGTGCAATCAAACAAAGTCCGAATGATCGATGATTTTTCCATCAGTGGCATAAATGATTCGTGCACGATTCATTCCAAGATTGACCTGCACATGATCGACACGCTGGGAGCGGTCATCCGGAGATATTTTCAAGCTTGCGGTGCGAAAGAATGTGATAGCCGGCTTCTGGCCAAGACCTTCGATCTCAAGAGTGCCTATAGACAGGTGCCCATACAAAGCCAACACCTAAAGTATGCCTTTTTCAGCATCTACAACTGCGAAGAAAGAAAGCCCGAGATTTACCAACTGCTGACCCTGCCTTTTGGGGCCACGCACTCGGTTTATTCCTTCCTTCGACTGGCGAGACTCATTCACAGCATTGCTGCTAGAGGTTTGTATGTTCTCAACACGAACTTTTATGACGATTTCGTGTTGCTGTCCAAACCTGAAAGTTGCAAGTCAGCAGACCTGGCAATGGAAGTTTTGTTTATGCTGACCGGTTGGGAATTTGCCCGTGATGGAAAGAAGGCAACGCTTTTTGAGACCACCTGCAGAGCACTCGGGGTAGAATTTAATTTGAGCAGATCAGAGAGAAGGATCGTCCAAATCTACAATACGGAACAGAGAAGGCTTGATCTTGTTTCTAGGATTTCCGAAGTTCTGCTTGCAGGACAGCTGTCGAAACATGAGACGCTTGTGCTAAAAGGACGTTTGAGCTTTGCTGACAGTTTTCTGCATGGCAGGCTTGGAAAGATACTCCTAAAGAAGTTGCTTGAACATGCCTACTCTCGCCAGAGGACTTTGGACGAGAGCACGAAACATGCTCTGCTGGCCATGAAGACAAGGCTTGAAGCGGGACACCCTGTGCAGATCTCGGACCAGGAACTCCTGCAATGGTTCGTCTACACTGATGCTGCTTACAACATGGAAGAATTGACTGGTGGAGTGGGTGCAGTCTTGGTGGACCAAGCTTGTTCTTGTATACAATGGTTTGGTTTTCCTCTCAATGAAGAAATGTGCAAGACGTTCGGTTGCCAAACAAAACAGTCCATTATTTATGAGCTTGAGTTGGTAGCTGCAGTACATGCCCTTTCCTATTGGGGCGATCTTCTGGCTGGTAACCTGACCACATGGTTTGGAGACAATGATAGTGTGAGATATGCGCTGATCAGAGGAACTGCCATAGGGCCTTGCGGTGAAGCGATCATGAAGTTTCATCTTGAGAAAGAAGCAAGTCTGCACTCACGCGCTTGGTTTGCTCGTGTCCCGACTGAAGCAAACATTGCTGACTTTCCTTCGAGGCTTTCCCAACATCCACTCCTCGTCCCGGAGGCAGATGTTTCTGATAGTGCACGCCTGTGTTTTCAGAGCTTGGTTTCAACAGTCGAATCGAACAGTGGCCTGCACGTTGTTGATGGGGGAGATGAGGAGCGTGCAACCCCCAGTTCGAAAAAGAGAGGCGCCAGTTAGCTTAGTTGGTTTGCAAGACACCAAACGGAAAGAGACGACTAAGCTCTTCGAAGAAGATCGTGTTGTCTCTACTTCGTTTTAGAAACGAGAAGTTTCGGGTGTCTTGAATGATGTTTTTCCTTCGTGACATTTTGTTTCAAGGGAGGGTGTGGCGGGCTCCGCTGACCGAACGGTCAATGCTCTGAAAAGCCCACCCACCCACACCAAATCTTTCAAGATGAAAGCGAGACCTTCACTTTCAGGCCAAACCCGAGCCTGATGAGGAGCGTGCAACCCCCAGTTCGAAAAAGAGAGGCGCCAGTTAGCTTAGTTGGTTTGCAAGACACCAAACGGAAAGAGACAATATCTTCTATGGCAAGGCGGATTTTCCAGAATTTTCGACGAAGTCGCGTAAGGCTTGGGGCTTACATTTTTCCGGTGCGTCCGCTTCGTTGTCTGTCAGGTTTCTTTTTTCTTGAACGTTCATCGTTCAAGGACCTCGCTGATAAGAAGTAGTTGATGAAAAAATCAAACTGTGTGACTACAAAGTGTTTCTGAGAGATCCTTGCAAATGCTTGTTGCTTGCGGTGTTGCCCGGAATGGCTTGAAGCTTGTTGGGTTGTTGTTGACGACCGTTGGATGCCAAGGTTGGGGCCTTAGTTGATGAGCTTAGTTGAAAACGAAAGAGAAGAAAGAAAACAAAGAAGAAGAAAACGGAGAAGAAAAAAAATAAGAAAAAATGGAAACATAAAAATAAAAAGACAAAACGACAAAAAATGAAAATGAAAAGAACAAATGAAAAAATGACAAATAAAAAACAAAAAACAAAAAGACACGTTATAACACATAAAAAACAATAAAAAAAACAAAGAAAAAACAAAAAGAAGAACAATAAACAGAAAAAAAAGAAGAGGAAGAGGAAGACGAAGAGGCAGAGGAAGAGGAAGAGGAAGAACAGGAAGAAGAAGAAGATGAAGAAGAGGAAGAAGAGGAAGAAGAGGAAAAAACAAATGAAACAAAATAAAAATATCAACAAAAAAACACGAAACAAAAATAAGAAGAAGACGAAGAGGATAAAAAAGGAAGAAAAAGAGGAAAAAGAGGAAGAAGAGGAAGAAAAGGACGAAAAAGAAAACACAATAAGAAAAACAAGAAAACATGATGACAAAAATGAAAATTAAAAAAATGAATAAAAAAGAAGGAAACACCAATAGAAGAAGGAAAGACAAATATAGAACAGGAAGAAGGAAGAAGGAAAACAGAAGACAACAGACAGCAAAGGTAGATAGCGGTAGAGGTAGTGCAAGTAGGGATCCAAGAAGGGGTGTGAAAATGTAGGGTGAGGAGAATGGCTCACCACTTACACCTCCGTATAGGGATTATAATTTGTTTGCCTCTTGGAGTGGTGCCTCTCTGTGTTCATCATTCTGTGCGGTTCGAAACGTGAGACTTCGTCAGTTGGCTTGCCTGTTTGATTGGCGTTTGATTGGGCCCATTCGTAGATCCAGAAGGTCTCATGGATTGTGACTTTTTTTGACTGGATTTGTTTGAGGTGGTTTCGCTTTTGAATTAGAGTCAGTTGCTGTCTGTGGTCTATGCCGGTGTTTGCAACCATTCGATGGAGAAGCAGTAGCACGTGCAACCATATGGCAGTTTAACAAAAATTTGTTGGTTTGATTTAAACTCCAAACTTTTGTTCAATGCAAGAGGCCTGAACTGGAATATGGCTTTAAACTGCAAAACCAGGCACATTGATGGACACAAATTGTGAGCCGTTTTTTGCAGGGTGCTTTTCAAAAACATCAATTTTGGCTTGAAAAGGCAACTGTGTGGCCAGATCGGTGATGTTTTTTTCCACGAAGATCCGGCTTTGAACAACTGGTTGACGTAGCCTTCACTGCAGCTGGCTCGAGTCGAGCGTGCAGACCCTCGGTGTTGGAGAGCGACCTGCCATCCGAACGCGGCCGAAATTGCTGCCCGGAACTCAGAAACCCAGGCTGTTCTGTGCCTGCAGATTGGTTTCATGGATCTTCGTACATGTGTATCAATATTTACAAATTAGTAAAATCAGGTTTCAACCCCAACAGAACATGACCGTACCTTTGTATTTTCGATTTGTTCCATACATTTTGCATCCTTGAGGGCGAGCAAAGGCTGAAGTGGCAACAAGATCAACAACTCCCCTTGTTGTGTGGATGGTTGACAGAGTGCAGCTAAAGTGCTGGATCAAATTGTTTGGAGAGGGAGTTGGGTTCAGATTCCACAGAAGTGGGGTTGTTTGGTGCCTGTTGTTGCTGGCCATCACCATTTCCGTGGCCGCCGATCTCAAGCTCGCTCGCTCGGTAGCTGAAAAGGATTGCTGACCGTCTCAACATGACTCTTTTGGTGGCAGTGCTGTTTGGAATGCTGGCCAGTGCCTCTGAGCAGTGTGAAGGCCCTGAAGGTGAGTGCGATCAGTCAGATGCATCTTTGCTCCAGAGTGCCATCAAGTCCAAAATGCCACAGGAATGGCCCTTGGACGGATCCACCACCATTCTATCAGCCGAACAGACGGCCGAGTACATGTCATGGTATACTGAGGATCTTCTGCCAAAGTGGCAAAACAAGAAGGAATCATCCCTCTGGACCTTGCAGACCACCATCAGTATTAAGCAGCCGGCACAGAAGGTCTTTGATGCCATTATGACCTCCAATATGTGGCCAGTGTGCTATCCCAACACCTTGAGTGTCGGCGGATTCTCGCACACACCCTTCACACCTGAAACACCAAAGGGGATGATCTTGGAGAAGTTCTTGTGGGCCGGTGCCATGTACTCCCTATTCCGCTACCAGGTGCGTGATGAAAATTCTTGCCTCACATGGATTTCAGGGGAATCTCCTCAAACCATTTCGTCGGACAGATGTTTCAAGATGCTTTCTCAGGATCGTTACATCATCGATTTGGTTTGGCAGACAGATTCGGACCGAAGCACAGCAGATTTCTTTTTTAAATACCAGGGAGTATTTCTTAAAATGTTTTTTTGAATTACATGTCTTTATTATTTTCCAAAAACACATATTACTCGATTTCTTTTTTCCGTCCGAACTACTGTCCGGAGAATGGAAACCCTCAAAGTTGACCTTGGGCGGATCCAAATGCGTGGCCGAGAAATTCTGCACGGTCCCTGTCTCCCTTTAAAGAAAGACTCCGGTCCTAAATTTGTACGTTCTTGCTTCCCCTCTCGCAGGTGGTGTTGGTGGTGGTGGTGGTGGTGGCGGTGGTGGTGGTGGTGGTGGTGGTGGTTTTTGTACGTTTCTCTTTTTGAAGAGGAAGAAACAAAGTAAAGTGAACAGAACCATAAAGAGGTGGAGGACTATGAGCCCCCGACTTTCGCCACCTTTGACGGAGCCATGATCTTCACAGTGGGTGATTTGATCGCCCAGAACTCCATCAACACCATTGGCGGGCGAGCCTTGGGATGGCCGAACTTTTCCATTTTTGATGATGCACTGTTTCGTGTTTTCTTGTTTGCTCCATGAAAAGTGGACATTGTCAAAGGACATGTTTCTCTCTCCGATCTCATTTTTTGTGATATGTGCCAAGGCTTTTTCAAAGCCGAGGATTCCAATACAACTTGACCTCTCTTGGCCCGAACGAGACGAATTGGACGCGCACGGTGTACTTCTATCAGGACAAGAGTGCTTCGATGATTCAGCAGATGGAGTTTGCCACCATGATGAACACGGTGATCTTCCCTGCGCAAAAGAAAGGCCGGCCGAGCTTCGCCGAAGCTCGCGGGTTCCCGTGGTTCCCACGCATTGCGCTGGTGGAATGGCTACCGCCCGAGCGGAGTTCGGTCTATGTGGCCGTGGGCGAGTGGATGTACGCGAAATCCTAAAAGTCCAACGGAGTCCCACTAGCCAAAGTTTTGACAGAGGTTTGGGTAGTCTGTTTTGTTCCAGGGTCACACCCATTTGGATGAGTCGAAGATTTTAGAGAGTTGCTTGGCCTTTCCCATAGGTGGGTGGACAAATACCTTCACCATTGGCGCCATCAACATCTGGGGATAGGTCAAACACAACAATGTTCGCCCGACCAGCGGTCAGTCCACCATGTAGCGAACTTACGAGCGACACCAGGGGGGCTGGTTGTGCCCGAAACCGTTTCTTTTGTGGCCATGACCCATAGCCATCTCCCAGAACAAATCTCCTGCAAACAATCCTGAAACACCGGCGCTAGATGCCCGGCGCTCTTCGCAGTTCCATGGAGGAATGGGTGTGTTTTTTAAATTGAGGGGCGCTGTTGTGCCCCTGTCACATACACTGGGATGAGATGAGCCAAACCACCCAACTCCATGGAGCTCCTCAGATGTTGGATCCGTTTCTACTCCTCTTTCCCGGCCTTCTTTCTGTTTGAACCAGGCGCACCGCAGTATGTGAATTGCGTGAAGATCTTTTTGGAGACGCCTGGATGGGAGAAGGAGCTGTGGGGATGATTTTGTATTCTGAGCAACATGGAAGACTCAGATCTTGCCTGGGTGTGTGTTTCAACACGGAGGCCTCAAAGAAATCACTAGATTCACTAGATACAGTACCAAAGGAAAAGTAAGCACAGGTAAGCAGACGAATAGACTAAAAGCTCAGCACAACAGTGCTGAGGGCACCACAGTTTGAAGGCGCACACACACACTTACGAAGGCCACGACAACGTTACGATGTCTTCGAGTGGCCAAAAGTGCCGCTAGCGGAGCTACACATGCTGCGCAGCAAAAATGTTTGGGGTGATTGTGCCAGGTCGTAACAGGATGGCCGCCAGAAGTAAGCAAGGCAAATGGGAATATATAGCGAAAGAACACAATCACTACTGAAACCCACGTGACAGAAACACATGTGGCCCATGAAAAAAATCCACCATAGATACTGTACTCCTTGATCTAGGTCAGCGAACCCCAGCAGAGAACGCTTTTCGCCCCCAAGCGATGGCGGAGAAGCTGCGATCATCCTCCGGGCGTTTCACCTGGGGGACAACAACGTCTGGGTGCGTCGTTTCACGTACCGGACATCTTCCGGATGGTCTTTTTCCAGCAAAGAGGCGATACAAAGACGCCAAGACATAGGCAGATGTTGCATCTATTCTGGGGATAGGCTAGGCAGATCTTGCTTCTTTTGCTGGGTTCGCTGTTGTGCCCCTTTCTTCCAGGCCAAGTTAGGCAGTGGCTGGCTCCAAGCGCCTGGAGGTGCGCCTCTAGCCACCACCCTTATCGGTCTTGGGACTGTCGGAGGGTTTTGGGGTGAAGACCACGCACCATGGGTGGCGTGAGAAAGGCTCGTGCATGGGCTTCTGGTGAAGCACCCATTTGGCCACACCAAACAACGGACGGAGTCTGCTGGGGTGTTCATTCTGGAGAATCTAAAATGGACACTGATCGGCATTGTCCGTCTGTCCGCCTCGCTTGTTGGAAATGACGCACCTTGCCCTAAGATTCTGGTGTGTGATGTGGGCCTGACCCCAAGCGTTGAGATGTGTAAAGGAGTACAATCCCTGAAATAGTCATGGAAGCGGCAAATGGCCCGGGCCCCGCGGTTGTTACCAGATTTACCGAATATCAATCACGTGTCCTTGATTATTTCAAGGAGTGTTACTACTATTTGTTTGTTCCATTCTTTGTGTGGTTCACCCAGGGCAATTTCACAATTTTTAAATCAGTTTATCCTTCTTAGAGGAATCTCATTGTATAGAAAGGCAAACCTCCCCGAAAAGCTCACTCAGGACATGGTACTCGTACTCGCTCGGTAAGGTCGTTGTTCGTTCAGGCATTGGCCTGTGGTGGTGATTTGAGGTCTAGCGAAGCACCCCACGCGCGTGGACATGCGCTTGAAGTGAAACAAGCAACCCTGGGAAGACGCACACGCCTTCAGATCCTGGCCTGCAGGAAGTTCTCCAATCCACAGACTGCCAGCTTCAATGAGCTCTTGTACAGGCCATTATTTCACCCCTAGTTCGTTGGTGCAGCTGGCAGATGATCCCTAACCCCATATCGGAGGTCTGCTTTTCTGTCGAGGCGGAACCGCTCAACGACGAGCTCACCCCTAACTGCCAGACTGGCCGTCCTTTTTTTCTGCATCGCATCGAGTCTTTGGACATGAATTCCGCGAACGGATGGCACCCCCGCTTTCACCCCCGCTTTTCTCAGTGGTTTCAAACCTGTGCGTCCTGTCCAACACGGCCTGCCGCCAACCAGCTGCTCCTTCTCGCAGCCGAGCGTTCGGCTCCGCGTCGCCGAGGCGAAAAGGGCCAAAACGGAGAGACACAGACTAGGCATCAAATGCAGAGGATCCTGGAGATGGTGTTTGAACTAACACACTGCTCGATTTGGTTCTCCTTCCAGTTTCTTGAAAAGCTTAAACATGGTTGACCAGTTCGGAGCTTGGCATGTCTGATTCGTACTCTACGCGTCTCCGCAGCCATATATCGATTCACCACGGGCCTTAGCACCGTACGTCGGTCCAGGACCGGCTGCACCGTACGTCGATGGCGCTACACTGGGACCAGACGCCGAAGAAGCAGGGTTTATATGACCCGTCCTTGGAGTCTGATGCATGTGGCGTGGGCGCAGTGATGGACATGAACCGGAAGAAGTCCCGGAAGACCTTGACCGATGCCCGGGACATGGCCGTGCGCATGACGCATCGTGGGGCTAAGCAAGCCCATGAGGCGTGACCGGTTCCGGTGTGGGAGAAGGTGTGAGGGAGTTGGATGGTTCTTCTTTTGCCGATGTTGCATATTTTTTTGAACTTTATTCTTTCTTCTTTCTTCTGATATTTTATCCTAGGTTTTTGTTAAAGGATGGTCTCGTCGTCCTTCCTTTTTCGACGTTTCGGGTCGTTCCATGGTGCCCCCCGAAACGGGGGCGACGTCGCCGGTTCCGGGGCGGACGCTTTGTTTTGCGACCGTTCCGTGTTCCGAAACTCAAGAGGTGTATGCCATTTGTGACCGTGCACCGAATCAGTGAAACATCATCCGATCATCGAAGCGATCTGTTTAGGTCGCCATGGTCCTCTCATGTCCTCTCTTTTTCGGCTGTAGCCTTAAAGAACGCGGCGTGCCCCACTCCCCGGCGGGATTCGTTCGATCGAAGCTCTCTTTTTGTGGCGCCAGGATGACGGAGATGGCGTCGGCATTATGATCTCAGTCCCCGACGAGTGCGACGTTCCGAACAGTGGGACATGGTCTGTGGCAGATGTGGCAGATCAACAGAGACCTCAGCGACCCCCCAAAAAGCAAAAGAACGTCCACAAACTGAAAACCGGGACCAGGCTGCTTGGAGTTCCGGCCATGCCCCCCTGAAGAGTTCTTGGCATTTCTCTGTTGTCATCCTGTAAGTGGCCATAGGCTGCTGCCAGGTACTTGCGCAGTTGCTGTGGCTTCACCTTGCCTCCCGAGGGTCAGTATGGCGTGGGAAACCTCTTCCTGCCACGCCAGGAGTCGAATTCGCCCACACGCCAAGAGGGTGGTCGTGCTGGAGCCTTCGATGGCTTTAGGATGGTTGCTGGGGCTTTTGCTGGGGGGTACTCGTACTCGTAGCAGCTACAGCAACTAACTGCAACGAACTGCAGTAGCTCGGTGCCCTGCAGCTCACCTCACCCGGTGCCCCGCAGCAGCTCTCCTCCCCATCGCTGTCCTAGGAGGACAAGCGTGAAGATGCGGTGAAGCTCGTCGAACGGATGGCCCGGCGCTTGGGCCTCCAGGCGCGAGCGTGAGCGTGGATGGTGGACGGAGCGTGGACGGTCCACGGTCCACCGTGGTGGTCCGGAAAGGGAGAGAGGGATGGTGTCCGGCGGTGGTGAGCCGATTGCGAGTGGTTTGGGATGGTTGGATGGTGGAGATGGTTTGTATTTGGGCATAAGAATTGATGAGAATTGAGTAGTTGGAGCAATTGGCCTGTGCACGACCATCAGTCACCTCAAGTGAATGACCCCTTACTTTAAGGAGGACGGTTTGGCTTGCAGATTCCACAGTCCACATGCAGGTAACTGGACTGGCTCATTCTTTGGTTCATTTCACGTTGGGACATTCTCCTCTCCGATTTTCAGGGCCACTCGCCATTCTAAATCAGTAGTAGTATAGATCCCCAAATAGATAGAAAGTAACATGTCTTAGTTCAAAAAGTCTTGTTTCTCCCGTGCCGAGAAGCTCGGTCATCTGGGACTGAGCTTCCTTCAACTGGCGCCAGGGACGGTTCCACACGGTGGAACCGGGACCGACCGGTCGTGGGACCGGTCGTGGGACCGCAGTGACGAACTGAAGCAGCAGGTATAGAACTACACACCCTAGGGATCCAGTCGTACCTTCTCAAAAGGTGGGACTGGGGTGGGTGCCAGGAGGGTCCAGTCGCGCCGTACCTGAGGTTCGGTACGACTGGATCCCTAATAACATACATGTAGCTGACTATCTACCGAGTTGGACACCCAGATGGCAACCAGCTAGAGGTGTTCTTACTTCTGGGGTCTTCACCTGGTGTTCTTCACCCAATCGCCTGGTTGAACCCTGTGCCTTTGCGTCTGCCTTTGCGTCTGCCCTGGCGCCAGGTCATCGGTTGGCGAACGCCGCTGCCGGTGAACCCCTTGGTCTTGGGGCCCTATGCCAAGTCCACCGAACCCTTCGTGGCCCAGGCACGTGAACCCACCCGCGCCGCGAGGAGGGGGGTTTCGGTGCCAGACTTCCGCCGCTCGGCCTGGGGCCAGAAGGCGGGTACCTTCTCATGGTAGAAGGACCATCCCCAAAACCAAACGCTTTTGGTACGCAGGTGCCTTCTTGGACTCGATCACGAAGCCTCAAGACCTCGAGGGGTTTTCTGACGACACAGACTTGGGCCGAAGCTAAACACACTCGCTTCGGCCCCCCAATTCGACCCACGCACGCCTGCACTCGTTCGCTTCGACCCACGCACGCACGCATGGCTTCGACCCTTTCGAGCTTTCGCTCAGCTGGCAGGTCTTTGTCGGGATGGGCGACACTGGGGAGGACTCGGCGGCGGAAAGTGCTGTGAAGAGCAAGGCCAATGTGCTCCGGCCGGCGGCGGTCCGGTCCGGGGCGGTCGAGGGCAGTCCGGGGCAATCCGGGGCAGTCCGGCCACCCGCCGTTGTGGGCTCCGTTCGGCCGCCCGGTGGGCGGTTCGGGGTGGGTGGTCTTGTGGGGGGGTCGAAGACCACCGGTCGGAGCCCTCTAGGGACCGGTCGGAAGCGAGCGAACGAAGCGGCGAAGCCCACGTGACCCTGGGACAGAGACCAGACCGACGAGACGTAGAGGGGTTTCCGGTCACAGTTCTCCTTTGGTTCTGGTTCGTCATTGGAAGAAGCCTTTTCAACCACCGGATACACTGAGAAGCCGTGTAGTGGAACAGCGTTTCTTCATGTGGCCGACATATCGGTTCGTTCCAGTGGCACTGTGGGTCAGTCTCTTGGATTTCTGGAAAAAGTGCGGTGGGGAGCAGCCGAGCCTGGACTTTCACTTGATCTTGGGATCAAAGAGATTCCTTTTCGCATCTTGGTTTCTTGGCCTCTTGCTTCGCCACGAGTGTTGGGGTGCATATGAGACCAAAGTGCAACCAGTCTGTGGACCAACAAACCCGGATCTGTACCAGTGCCACTTCGATACGCGGCAACACCCGCTCTGGCTTTGATCGTTATCTACAAACAAGTTTCTTCATGTCTGACTGAGGCACTCTCCAGTGGCGAGTACGATGGACTCTTGGTGCAAAGGTGCAGAGGTCCAATTCTTTGGTTGGGGAAAATCTCTTGGGTAGTGATCTCCCTCTTTCCTCGCTTGGGGCTGGGGCTGGGGCTGGGTCTGGCTGGGTCTTGCGACCTGTTTGGTCTTGGATTGGTGATCTCCTCACAATTGCAAAAAGCGCTTCGGCGCTTCGCCTCTGTTGGGGTGATGCCTTATTGGCGTACGGTGTGATGTTCAATAGCTCTTCCGCCCTTCGTTAGTGAGATCCTTGTCCTTCTTCACTAAACCACTCCCCAGCAAGCGGCCAGCCCCCCTGAGACCTCTCTATTTCTTACCAGGGGCCTCTTGGTGTGGTCAACTGGGGAGGACCGACCCGGCACGACCGGAACCGGTATCGCTTGGTGAAGCGGTTTTCCATTCCTCCAGGTTTTGACCCATCTCCCATCCCTCTTCTTCCTCCCGGTCAATCCCTCAGCACCCCCCCCCCTGGCCGAACGCGTTCGCATGGGCACCGCTGACTGCGCCCACACGTCGGGACCGCTGGAGGTCTTCCGTTGGAGACGCGGCTCTTCCTGCTGCGCCGCGCCGTGGCGCTCCGCGCGCGGGAGGTCTTCGTGTGCTCCTTGTCCTGCCGGACGATCACCTATAAAGGAGCCGAGCCGAGCGGAGCGCTTATCGGGCCGGCAAGGGGCAAGTCTGGTCGGCTGAGCGGCGTCAAAAAGCGAGCTTATCGGGCTTATCGGGGTGTGTGTTGCAACACGGGGTGCGGGAGGGGAGATGGAGGGTGCGGAGGTTGGGAGGTTGGGAGATGGATGGTGGGGTATCCGAGTTCCGCAGGTGGCGGGGAGGTGGCCGAGTTGCTTCGGAGTTCCTTGGGGCAAGCCACTGGATGGACATTTCTTTTCCTATAAGTGGCACACACACTCGAAGACATGGACTAGCCATGCTGAACTGCCCTGGTTGAAGTTCTGTTGAACTGCAGGACAGTTCAAGCCGGATCAGCTCTTTGAGTACTACATGGATTTGATGCTGGCCGCAAGTGCGGCGTTTGTGTTGCGCCCGCGCGGCATTCCTAAACACCTGCCATTGTGAAGATCTTCTAGACTTCGAATTCAAAAATAGAAGTTGCTTCGCACTGCTGGAAACTGCTCTGAGATCCAACACGAATCCACAGACAGAACCGCTCCTTCAGAAGAACAGAACCGCGCCTTCGGTGCTTGGCCCCGGCTCAAAGCCCTCCCCCCCCCCCCAGTGGGATGGTCTAAGGAAGTCAGAGCAATGCACTGCGTTCTTGGCCTTGGATGCTCGGCGCGACCTGCACGAAGGACTGATGGTCTAAAGACTTGGACCCAAAGTGATTCACTCATCAACCCCAAACAGGTCTTGGCCCTGATAGGACTTGGACTTAGACCTGTTTGATTTATCTTCACTGAGCTGCCTGATCTCAGCGGAGAGCTGCCTGAGGTGCACTCGCGCTTCTCCACCAATTCCTTCCCCTCTTGGAACCGAGCGCATCCCTTCCGTCGGATCGCGCACAATGGCCACTTGGATCGATGTAGAAGAACTCCCGTGTGCTGAAAGGGTTGCGAATGCAAAGACCATCTATGAAAAGACCCGACACTTTGCAAAGAAACCGACATTATTATATATATATATATTATATACATATATAATTTATATATATATATATATTATATATATATTATATATATATATATAGTCGCCTTCTTCCTCAGATCTTTTGTCCAACCAAAGATCTCGGGATCTACAGTGATTCACCACCTACAATGTTACGCCTCCTTCACCTCCTGCACCTCCTGCAGCGAGCACACCAGAGCAGCACCCTAGATCAGCAGCAGCTGCTCCTGCTCCGAGGCGAAATCAACACCTTGGCGGGGAACCGGAACTCCATCCGCACGCGTGAAGCACTGATGACCAACAGCAAGGCCTTCGGTGATGCACCGCTGGAGGCGCGGCGAAGTCCTTGGGCTTTTGGAAGTGTGTCATCAGAGATGTGTCGTTGGTCCTCTTCTTTGGTGGGTGCTTTGGTTCCTATTTGTTTCGTGCACAACGCGCAGCGCAGCTGCAAGGCCTTCTTCCCGGTGGATGAGGACATTGGCAGCGACTCTGCATTGTTGGACAACGTCGTCGAGCTCTTGCTTGCTGCAGGTGCGGAGCCGTTTCTTTTTTTTGGGGGGCACGTCACCATAGGACGAGGTAGGGAAAGACTGCGGCCCTAACCTTTGCTTACTTCCCGAACTGTGATGCCGAAGCGCCCTTCCTCAGCCCATGGCCATTCCCGGTTCCCGGCGCGCCATCCCGCGGGCTTCCGCCGGAGACGCCCAGCGGTTTTTCGCCTCAGGAACCCGAGACTTGGCGGAGGTGATTATGATGGTGATCCCTGAGGCCTGGCAGAACACGTGCCTCGGTGAGGAACGACGTGAGGAAGAAGCCAAAGGGTGAGGCGTTAGGCGTTTGAGGCGTTCGGCGTTTGAGGCGTTTTTGAGGTTCTGGGCTTTAGGTTCCAATGAAAAGACAGCGGGAGATTTCTTTTTTTGCTTGGCGAGTACGGAGGCGGAGGAACAGATTTCAGAATGTGCCGAGCGAATAATTGGAATAATTGGATGAATCATGTGATGCGGATAAAGCAATTCTTTGGCTCAGCATCACCAGCATTATTTGTTTTGTTCATCCGCATCAGCAAAGCGTACATCCTTTGGCGTTTCTTAAAGGTTTGTTCGTCAGCAGGCATTTTCAGAAATTTGGCAAGTTGCAAGTGGCTGCTGAGGAATCTGATGCAGAAGGAGAAGAAGGACTTTTACAAGTACCTCTCCTGCGCCACTGAAGCAGCATTCATCACCATCCAACTGACATGAAAGACAGCCAACATCTCCGATGGTCAGGGGTGGTGATTCGGGAAGGGCATGAATTTCACCTGTGACTCTTTAAAATCTCGTGTGCAACAGGTGTGACTTTACGTCACTCTCCGTCGCTTGTCTCCTCCATCATTCCCACCCAACCAAGCAACCAACACGCACACGCACAAACACACCCAGTCACACCCACTTCTCGTCCACATATCACACCCACTCCTCAACTCCACTCCTATACCAAACCCACTCCCACACCTCCACACTGCTGCGCATGTCGATTTGGCGCTCGTAGCCTCTCCATCCCCCAATTGCCACATCGTCCCATCCCGACCCATCCCAATTCTCTCCCCCCAATTCTCCCCAAACCTCGCCACCCAAACCCATCCCGTCCGCCACCTCAGCGCTTCGCTACTGCGCTTGGTCCCCTCCGAACCGCTTTGCACCCACCGCTGCTGCCTCCACCGCTGGAACCCGCTGACGGCTGCCGGCTGCCGGGCGCAACGCGTTTCTCAAGGTGATGGAGCCTTGGGACGGCCCCGCGCTGGTCTGCTTCACCGATGGGATCCAGTTCGGTGCCACGCTGGACCGCAACGGCTTGAGGCCCGGGCGCTTCTACATCACCAAGGTGGGCGGAGAGATGGGGGCAGTTGGGGCTGGAGGATGCTGGAGGTGGAGAGATGGTGAGATGGGAAGCCATACTTCCAGCGGTTTTGCTTGGGTGTTGCTTGGATGTTTGTCGGGACGTGCACCAGATAATCCAGATGTCTTGAAAGCATACCAAAAAGAAAACGCACCTTGAACCTAGATAATAGAGCGACTGGCGGACTCGAGTCGTTCACGGCCGGATTGGCAGTGAACAACTTAGATGATAAAACAACTTACTGTAGCTATAGATAATCGCAGTGAACAACTTAGATAATAACACGGCCGGATCAGAGCTCAACACCATCACTTGAAGTGATTTTGCAGGACCAGCGCCTGATCTTTGCTTCTGAAGTGGGAGTGGTGGATGTCCCACCGGAGGAGGCGAGCGACTGATGGGTGCTCCCGTGCGCCGGTGCCGGTGCCAAGAAACAGGTCCATCAGAACTTGATGGATGGGATGTCTGCATGAGAGAGATCTGAGAGATCTTGTTGGTTGGATGAAGTTAGATGGATGCACCCAGGTGTTTTTCCCTCAAAACAAGGGACTCGAAACCTTGACTTGGTGAAGTGGGATGACTGAAAATTCAATAGAAAGGGTACTTTTCCTTGACTCCCCCCTTGTTGTCGCATCTTCACTGAAGCCAAGTTGCAAAACAATTGGGAAAGCCAGCCCACAGGCTGGGTCGAAGGAAGGTGAGTGGTGGGGAGCAGACCGTAACCCCGCAAAACCTAATATGTGCTTTTCGCCGTGGGTGGATGCCATTTTGGGTAAGTTGGTGATGCGCCGAATGCAACTCATAATCATTGCACTTTTGAGACACACAAACAGACCTCGGAAGGGAATCCAATGCCACTGACTTCTTCGAGCCTTCCTTGGAACTGTCGACTTGAAAGGACGAATCTGACCTCTGTTCTTACCTCTGTCCAGTCCTTGAGGTGTCCGGACCTGGACCTCTCCAGACCTTCCAAATCCAAACGTCTCGGACGATGCGTTGGCTGGGGCTTTGGGGCCTTGGGTTCGACCCACATTTGGGCCTTGGTTTCTCCTGGCTTTTGTTTTCCCTTCTCAGGTAATCGTAATCGGAATTCTTTGAATATTTGAGAAATGCTTTCTTGGGTAGCAAGCTTTCATATCTGACTACCTGCTCACCTAGTCGGGTTCCTTTCCACCCGTCTCAGACTCTCCCCAACCCCCCACCCTCACCAGCCCGCCCTGGCGACTTCCTTCCTTCCTTCCTTCCTTCCTTCCTGCGGTGAGCGTTCATGCGTTCCTATGCGCCCAAACCACGCCCCTCCTGCGACGACCACCGCGCAGGTGCAGTTCAAGGGCCGCTTGAGACCTGGAAAGATGTTGCTGGTGGACTTCGCAGAGGCGCCCTGAAGCATCGCACCAAATGGACACTCGAAGGTGTTCAGCATTGAAGGCGGCAAAGAAGGAGACTTCTTTTTGTGCCAACTTGTCTTGTTGTGAAGAGTTTGAAGTTACGCCAGTTCAACCAATCCAGTGCGTCATCTTGCCCTTTTGCTATGATCTTCAAAAATTGGATCAGGAGAACTTCCCCTCGCACCAGAGTGAGACTAACCGAAGCTCGAAGCGCTCTTCCCCCAATCAACGAGCTCACGACCTTGGTCAGCCCGGTTTATTCGGGTCACGCCGCTCAGTCGAGCGCCCGTCAGGGCAGATTGATCGAAGACACCGAGCTGAAGATGCGCTATGCCACCAAGAAGCCCTATGGACACTTGCTCTGGACGTGGGGAGGATCAGTGGAGAAACGCTGAAGGAACACTGAAGGATCATGAGGACACCGCAACCATCGTTTTCCCCAACGGGCAGAGGGTCTAGTGCGTCTTCCGATGAAGTGGCGAGGAACCACTTTTGTATTTTCCTGTGGGAAAAAAGGCGTTTGTTTGTGGGCAAAAAAAGCAAGGATCACGTTTCAGGTCCGTCTCTTTTTGGTGGGGTTGGGTTGTGAAGCGACGAGCTGGTGAGTGGTTATTGATGGGTCCAAGAGTTTTTCTCTTCAGCTGGGAAGCATTGTTCCTCTCATCACATTCGTATGATGTTAGTTTCTTTTTTGCTTTCTTGAGTTCAGGTGCCGTCTTTTTGACAGAGACATCACTGATAGTTTTGGTGCAAGCGATGCTAATGATGCTGCTGCTTCTTTTTGACATCACTGGCATTGCTTCACGACACTTTGCCGAGGCGACTTCCTGAAGAACAACAGCGTTGAGCTCAAGGCTTCCTGCCATACAGCTTTCAGATACCAACTTCGCGACGCATCGGTTTTCCTTTCTCCTCCGCGACGCGGTGCCACCCCCTCCGACGCTGTCCGCGCGGTCGGACGGCGCGGTCCGTCGAGGATCGTTTGGGCCCCGAGCCCAAGAGCGATGCGGCGCTGATCGAAGAGCTGCTGGAGGAGGGGGGGAGCGGTTGAGCGGTCGGAGAGCTGCTGGGTGTCCAACGAGAGTGTCGAGCGTCGAGCGTCATGGTGGACACTTTCCGAGGTCATTGCCTTTTTGAGTGCCTGAAGTGTTTTTTATTCAAGAGTAGAGAGCGAGCATGGTTGGTTCAGCGGACACTTTCCGAGTTTCTCTTTTCTTGCGTTATTGGGTGCCTGAAATCAAGTGAAACATCAGTTCTACTGGAAATACAATTGGAATGTGCCTTTTTGGGATCGAGTTTTGCCAGTAATGATAGAGCACCATGGTAGAACTGTTCTTCGAAGACGGAACCGACCAGTTCAGAAGGGTGGATGGATCTTTGGTGAACCTGGGTGGTTTCTTCACAGATCAGTTGAGGAGGGTGGTTTCTTGTTATCCACTTCCAACGTCCTCCATGAATGTTCATCCTCCCAAGTCCTGCAGGAGGAACAGGGCAGTTTGGATGCCACCGACTTGCACTTGGGTCGAAACAGCCTTGTGCGGTTGGGGATGAAGAATTTCACGAACAATCCTCAGGGTCGACCAGTGCGTGTTCAGAGTTTGGGTAGTTTGATTGTGCTCCAAAGAAAGATCGTTTTCATATCAGTGAAATACGGGTAGGATGAATGATCGCATGGTGGCTGCCCCCATTTCACGAGGAGTAGAGGCAGTAGGGGGCCGGTTTGATTGAAGAAAACGAGTTGAACCACGTCGAAGCAAACGGAGACTTGACTTGCGCATTTTCTCTGGAGCACCGCCGTTTTCGTGGTCCTGAAGTCTTTACCTCCACTTGGGGAGCTTTGCATTGAAACCAAGCCTTCGCGTTCAAACTTGAGTTCAAGCCGCGCGCCTTTTTGAGTAAGTTGATAAGTCGTATCAAAATCTGCAATTTGGCGGAAAGAACATGAACAGTCCACATGAATAAATCCTTTTTCTCCAACAGCCAGGACCTTCAGTTCGTGACCTTCACTTGAGATCCTAGTGGCTGAGGTCACGAATCGTCCCTAATTAAAGAGGTCACGGTCACAGAGACTCCAGTGAGGTCGGTCACGTACTTTTCAGGTCCAGGAGAGCCAGTGATTCGGCTCCTTCACGGAGCCGGTGCATGTGGTGACGAGAAACGGATGGAACCGCTCGTCAACCAGTCGGTTCCCACCTGGTCGGGTGAAGGAGCAGCCCAAGCGAGCCGTCCAACTGGGCCCTGGGAGACAGGCTAGAGAAGGCGTTTCACTTTGCCAAGGACCACCATCAACAAGCGGGTTCTGCCACTGCTGAAGTATTGTGGATATACCTATGACGCTTGGCAGCAGGTTCTGCTTCTGCTTGGCAGGAGGTTCGTCCAGCGCTCTCGAGCAGCTTCAGAGCTCTTTTCGGTGGGCAAAGCAGACCCCAAACCCAACGGCTGGCAATTTTTGGGGAATCTGCACTCCCGAAAACTCACATGGACCCGGGTCGAATGGCACCCGGGTCGTCCAGCTGTTTTCCTCTAGCTGCACCAGTGGTCCGAAGACCGACGGAGATTGATCGGTGCTGATCGGGTCCAAAGAAAGCCGCCCGGTCTGGACCAGCCGTCGGCAGCCCGAAAGAAAGTGGCCCATACATAGATGACCTTTAAACGTTGGTTGGTTGGTTGCTTGATTGCTTGGTTGATTGCTTGGTTGCTTGGTTGGTTGGTTGGTTGCTTGATTGCTTGGTTGCTTGATTGCTTGGTTGCTTGGTTGCTTGGTTGGTTGCTTGATTGATTGGTTGGTTGGTTGCTTGGTTGCTTGGTTGGTTGGTTGGTTGGTTGCTTGGTTGGTTGGTTGCTTGGTTGCTTGATTGCTTGGTTGCTTGATTGCTTGGTTGCTTGGTTGCTTGGTTGGTTGCTTGATTGATTGGTTGCTTGGTTGGTTGGTTGGTTGCTTGGTTGGTTGGTTGGTTGCTTGATTGCTTGGTTGGTTGGTTGGTTGGTTGGTTGCTTGGTTGCTTGGT